CCACGTAGAATTAAGGCAGTTCTGAAGGCGAAAGGGGGTCAAACACCGTATTAGTATGGTGTTCCTAATAATCCTTTAGGTGAGTGTATATGAAAATTGAAATTTTATTTTGGTTTTTGAAATGTCAGATGTATGATAATTGCATAAATGTGGCCTGTTTTGGCTAAATTTCTTGATTTGAATGTTAAGCTAGTAGCTGCAGCTGTCCACACAGGATAGTGTTACTATGGAAACTAATGCCAATTTTAGATTATTGTTGGCTTGTTAAAATGTATAATTTAGATTTTTTTCCTGAGGCAGTGTAGTTGCCACAGATTGGGGATTACGCTATACTGTATGTCTGTCTGACCATCCATCCATCTGAGTCCGGTTTGCGGGGGCAGCAGTCCAAGTCCTGTAACATTCTGATCAGGGTTTTAGTGATCCTGGGTCCTAATCCAGGCAAACTAAGGCACCGGGCTGGATGGAATTGCAGTCCATCGCAGAGCACAAATACTGTATGGACAAAAGTATTGGGACACCTGGCCATTACACCCACAGGACATCATTCTAAATCCATAGGCATCAGTATGGAGCCCTGCTTTGCAACTGTAACAGCTGTCACTCTTCGGGGAAGGCTTCCCATGAGATTTTGGAGTGTGTCTGTGGGATTTTTTGCCCAGATGTCTTGGTATGCATATCAGCTGTGCCTATCAAGCCTTCCCAGAAGAGTGGCAGCTGTTATAGCTGAAAAGGGGGGACCAGCTCCATGTTGATGCCTATGGATTTAGAATGGGATGCCAGAAAAGTTCCTGTGGGTGTAATGGCCTGGTGTCCCAATACTTTTGTCCATATAGTGTACATGCAGAAACAGACACACTATGGGTGATTCAGAAACACCAGTTAGCCTAACTGCATGTCTTTGGGCTGTGGAAGGAAACCGTAGTATCTAGGGGTTATAAGTAAATGTTAATTGTTGTGGAAACTATCCTGGGAAATGTGAGACTAGTAGACCTGGGTAGCACTTGCAGTTGAGCCTCCAGTTCTCTATGGATGACATCCAACATAGAGGCACGTTGGGGCTTTAGCTGAATAATCCAGGGCTGAATCTCCTTTATGCTTAACTCTGACTAAACACTCCTGTCTGCACACTGAGTAACTGAGTGGATTTCAAACCTCCTATGACCCCGTGGACATGGTGGACTCTGGGCCGACGTTCCAGAGGCTGCAAACAAGTTAACATAAGGTCACATTTGCATGTCTGCTCTTAAGGACTTTCTGGTGCAGAATGTTGTTTAGCAGGGAGAGATCAGTAGGGCTTGGGGTTCGTGCTGCTCCTTCCAGATGTTTCATATTAACAAAAGGCTATGGCTCAGTCTGTCATTAATGTGGTATAATGCACACGTGTGTGTGTGTGTGTGT